GTTGATAGGCTCTGATGATTGATTTTCTACACAAAATAAGGAGTAAAAAAGAAACATTAAGCTAACCCTGTCTTCATCTATGACATCCATAATCTTCTCCTTAAGGTGTTTCGAAAAGAGAATGCAAGTGGCTTCACAGGCTTTCTTCATCAATTGAATCTCCTTGGTGCCCTTAACACCAAAAATTTGACTAAAGAAAGTGGAGCTATCGACGAGTTCAGTAGCTTTCGATTTAAAGGCAGTCAAAACAGACTTTGAGAAAACTGTTTCAGAATTTCTATCCAATTCCTTGGTAAAGACACCAAGAATCTTGCCGTTCCCACTTGCTAAAAACTCTTTACAAAGTGTGGAAATATTCTCTTTGTCTTTGTCTTCCTGAGATTTTGTTATAAAGTTGAATCTAATATCCGAGTCGGCATTTTTCAAGGCTTGTAAAAATTCGACCTTCTTTTTGCTGCTTAAAATGGTAATGCCCTTCTTACAGAAAACCATAGCTGTTTCCTGCATTTCGTAGCCAAAGAAGTATATCTAGCAATCATTTGCTTTTAAAGAAAAACATACTTGTGCTGAAATTGTCTTGCCATAAATATCATCTGATTTGCCATTCAGTAGTAGAAAAGCATCCGTTTCTGATGCTTTACTGTCAGGCGACTAAATACTATTCTGTAATATTTAATTTAAATTACCTTCCAATAGGAGTAAAATGCCTTAAACCTCGATACACAAGATTTAACATCCAAACTGGCACACATTTTTCAAATATTTACAAATAGAGCGCTATACTAAATGGGTATAAAATCTAATATCTTAGCCAATCTGGATCGAGTATTTGGGCTATTAGGTTGAAACAATAAATAGTTGCAAATGCATTTATCACTTTTAAAGTGGTCATTTATGGTTTTTATTTGAATTTCTATTTTCAAAATGAAATATTCTTTTAATATTTCACTCAAATTAGGCCTGCTGAACAAAGTTTTGCTTTTTAATTTTCTGCTTCTTTGATGAACCTTCCCTCTGTAAAGCCCGAACTATGCTACTTTGATGAACCTTCCCTCTGTGAAGCCCGTAGCTCTTTTTGTCACCTTGATGTTTCTCCTCCTCTCTATGAAGACCGAAGTCAGTAAATGGCATTTTTTCACTTTTCTGTGAAGCCCGAAGTCAGCTAAATGGCTAATGATAGTTATCAAAACGCCTGCCATTTGAAATAAACATTAAAAATCTGTGATTGTTGAGGCGTTCGCTTCTGTTAGACATTAGTTTTCAAAGCAGCTTCACCGTAATCGGAAAATGCTCTTTGTGAAATGCTTTAACCATCACTCGGTTAATCCATATATTCAAATGCCTCATTCCGAAATTCTTAAATTTAAGGTGATTATATTGGCTGTGTTTGCATTCAATCCAAGTTATCGCTCTGTTTTTTTCTCTATTTCAATGAACATCTCAATTTTTCGATTAGTTGCGTAAATGTTCCTCTAATAGTTCCTTCCTGTTTCATTTTTTTTCTTTACTTCAGATTATGCGTGTTCCATACTAAATGGTCCCCTATTTCAGTTGTGTGTTACGTAAGAGATGCTAGTGAACTATTAGAATGTTTGCATTGATGTGTCTTGAGCTCTGCACTTGTCTCTTGGGATTTAGAAGTAAAATTTTCTTCTGCTAGCTCATTACATTTGTATATACACGGGATATGTTTCCTTTCATTAACCAATGCTCTGCGTAATTCTAGAACGCTGGAATCTTTTTGGATGTAAAGGTCTTTTAAAGTGGTTGCTTTTCGGTTAGTTTCTTCTTTTGTAACCGTATTTGCTAGTTTGCGTTTGATTTAAACATTTACCATTTAACGATGTCTTCTATTTAGTCGTAGCAGATAGTGTACGTGTCTACAAATCTTGTGATTATACTTAAATGCTATTAAATACATCTAGTATATAGTGCTTTTGGAGTTGTTGCCTAATCCCTTGCTTTGTATTTTTTTGTCTAGTTTGCTGTCTTAGCTATCTTACGTGTGATGTAAAATGTCCGGTTTTCATATGTCATTGTCGTCTTATAGATTTATGTAAGAAGCATGCTGACCCAAACGCCATGGATTCAGGCCTATCGACACTAGGTGGTGGAGGGGGTCTGGGAATGTCCACTCTCCCCACAGGAGCAGCAATATATGGTCAACTAGTGACCTTTGACCAGCTCTCCCAACTTTCTCATCAATCTCCGCGCAGCAAACAAGTACAACAACAATCGATTATTTCTGCAGCAGCAACTGGGGTGAGGGCTGCTGTGGCAGTGACCTCTCCTTCTCCTGTAGTGACCTCAACGGTTGCTATGACAACCACTGTCGTCTCCTCTAACTCTGCCTCCTCTCTTCTCAATGTGATGTCGGCTTCGGCTTATGCCAATCTGGATCCCTCTTACTCTCTCAAGAATAAGTCAGTAGGAGTAACTCAACAACAGCCCATGGATATTAGTGAGCCCATGGAGTTGAGTAGTTCCAGTTGTAGCCCTTCAAGCGGTGTTCTCCCACAACAAGCGCCTTGTAATAGCACAATGACAATGACGAATAGTCTAAATACCAGCAATACGTACAGTTATCCTACTTTTCCCTATTGCAATACTGCTACAACTACATGCAGTAATGTGACTGGTGTTTCTCTTTCGCTGGCCTCAAACCCCTCTTCGGCTGCTGCTATGACGACTGCAGCTGTCTCTACATCGTCCCAGCCTGTTTCTGGAGACGTCTGCATGTCGGGATTTGGTAGACGTCAACATCAACCCCCACAAAGGCTTCTTGTCCGAATGTCAGTAAAACTTATCCAGACCTACGAAACTATCAATGAGGTAGGTTTTGTTTCTCTGCCTATTTTAACTAGAATTAACTCTGATAACTGTCGTATCCTTAGTAAAATGCAATTTTAATAATGGTCGATGATTGAAACAATAATTTTTCTTTCTACTGTTATCTTTCTAGGTCTATTTTCGAAAGAAACGACGAAGAGAGCAAGCCTGTGAGGATAATATTATGAAGCGAGATCGTAAAGGTCACGATGTCACCACGACTACAGGAACCGCCACCGGTAACTGTTGCCTCCCCGCCACTGCTGGTACAACGAATCGACCCTGTTGTTGCCAATTTCATCATGGTCGACCTGT